CTTTAATTTGTAAAAATTCAATTTTGATTGAAATCAGCTCAAACTTTCTATGCAACATAAAAATTATAAAAATTGCAAATTGTTTTATTTTTAATTTTAGAATGATTTGGCCCAAGATTATGCATGTACTATAGTACAGGGTATTTCATCAGATTTTAAAGTAATTTTCAATTTTGATGACATATGTACGGAGTATAACTCACAGATACAACGGACATTCACATCTTGAGTATGATGGACACAAGAATGGGTTCCAAACACAACCCCACAGTCACTGACGCTGGCTGAAGACCCACCACAATTCATAGAACTCGACCAGACAGGAATGAGAGAAGGTGAAGAGTCTGTATTACTAGCGCAAGTACCACTAGGGCAATCAGGTCCTAGTGTGAATCCTAAACTACCACAGACTACTCTAGCATCATTAGGAGTGAACAGGGTAGCATTACAAACTGATCCCCAAGTATTTTCGTGATATATCTGAACAACACCATTACTTGCATTACTGGGATTGGAAACCAGTCTTACGGGATAATTGGGTATACCTACATGTATAGTAAATAAAAATAATCGATCATAATTTTGCAATTATTTATTTTATTTAAAATATTTAGTATAACTATTAATACTATTAGTTCTACTTACTTGTACAGATTAGTCCAATGTCACTACCATGTCCACAAGCATGTGTTCCTATTGGCCCACGGGGACAATCCAACAACGACCTCTCGTCTCCATTACATTTTACTTCATCAAGCCATATTGGTAAAGACCCAACCTCTGGACTCAAATACTTAAAGCCGTTAACAGTTTCAACAGAGCGTGTGTAGCCTAAGAGCCGGCAGGCGACATCAGCTGATTTCTTGCCCCACCCTCTCTGACAGATGGTACCCCAGGACCCCCCAATGAATATCTGTAGAATACCCTCGGTAGGACTCGGCCCACCAACTAATCTCAAACTAGCACCAGCTGTAAAATAAAATAATAATTATAATAATAACGCTGTTTTTCATATTTTAATGTTGCATTTTTCTTATGCCCATAGTTTTAAAAATTACAATTAACTCAAAATTTTCAGCAGGTAAATTACATCAAAAAATTAATGAAAAATCGTCTCTCTGTACCTGAGCAAGTAAGTGAAGCAATTCTATTTGATGCACATTCAGTATAACTGCCAAGAACTGATACTGAACAATCAGTTAGACTGTCCTCATTCCCATCACACTCTATGGACTGGATCCAGTACCAGGGAGAATCAGAACCAGTCCACGAAGTATTGGGCTCGGTACCATGAGACTCCACCCCTCCATATCCCAACTGACGACACGCAACATTAGCACTAGAGCGACTCCACCCATCTCCACAAACCACACCCACTATCCCGCTATAGTTAACCAGAAGTTGGCCACTGTTTGGGGTGGAGGCACTTGACAGTGATACTTTTAAACCAGGTTGATTAAGAGCTATGAAATAAGAAAAAACAATAATTTAAAAAGAAATATCAATGTGTTGCATAATTATAATGTATAAAAAATGTATTAGGATCCTGTATCGCTTGCACTAAATTTCATGCTTCTCATATTATAACAATCCAAATTAGTTAAATCAATACCTGAGCAGCTAATTCTAATGTCTTTTGCATGGTCACAATTGTGTACGTTCCAGCCTTGAGATGGACACTGACTTAGTTTAGTTTCTTGACCAGAACAATTGACAGCATCCAGTAATATCAGCCCCACTTTATCACTGTTAACATCTGCATATGCATGCATGAAAATAACAATAGTAATAAAATCAATAATTATGATAATTTATGTACAGATATTACATTCAATGTAATCCTTACCAACAAGATGGCCAAGAGGTGGTCCAAACCCAAGCTCCCTACAAGCTACGATTGAGTCCTCACGAGACCAAGAGTCCCTGCAGATAGTACCCCACACTCCTTTGTATAAGATCTCAAGTCGACCGTCATAGATTGACTCTCCGCCCACCAGTTTGATTGGATTGAACGAAGGTGCTTCAGAACCAGCTAGAAAAAATAATGATTTATCTCTCTTTCTCTCTCTATCAGCTTACGATCACAGAAGACAGTAACTCCATAGCCTCCTGAACAATCTGCTACTCTATAGTCCATCCATGTACAGTCAAACAGGTTAGACTTGTTTTCAGTGCATGCAAGATCCCTCAACCAGTATGGGCCGGATCTCCCAATATACCTTGTGTAACTGTTTTGACCATCGTCAACAATACTCACCAATCCTTTATATCCTAACTGTCTACACAGTGTCTTGTAGTTATTATCGGTCCATCCTTGACTACAAAGTTGTCCTGGTATGTTGTTCAGCTTGGCTTCCACACGACCAACCCAGGGGACTCTATCACCAATAAGACGAACTTGGATCGGATTTTCAACTATATTTAAATACATAAAAAATTTAAAACTGACATATAAAAAACGCGTGTAAAAATACATGTGCAAAATGAGTCAGAAAATATATACATGAATACCTCAGTAACAATAATGTACATGCATTTAATGATAGAATTAGTTACATGTAGTTACAAGCATTTACATTACTGTATATGCATACATTTATTGTCACATGATAATCACAACATGACCTATCAGCTAAATGAATTAACTCACATGCACAAGCAACAAAAGCTCCTTCATAGGGACCACAATTTATTTTTTCTCTTATAGCTGGACAGAGACAAAGGCTCTCCTCAACGCCATTACATTGCAAATTACTCAATGAGAAATCACTACCACCTGTATTTTGTTGAATGCGTACAGCTAGTGCACTAGGATATCCTAACTGTCTACATACTACATGTCCATCATTTTTATCCCAATCATCATCACAGACTGGCCTCCATTGTCCTTCACGATTCACCTCCACTAAACCCTCCCACTCATATTGATCACTAGAAAAAGTGCGGTTTAGACGAGATGCACAACCTAGAAGAATGTGAGAAGATAAAAGTACAAGTACATGTATGCATATAAATGTAAATAAATCTCGACTTTCTCCTTTCTCTCTCTATCTCTCTCTTACCTGAGGAGCATGATACAGAAGCATCTTCCTCATGAGTACAATCATGTACACCATAATCATTACTGACACACTGGGAGAGGGTCATCATACCAGGGGAACATGACACCTCATCAAGTAATATGGGAACTGAATCAGACGCAGGACCAAAATGTGCCGAACTACAAAAAATTTTAAAAATCAAATCTTCAAGTATTACATGTATGTGTACAAGTAAGTGTAAGTATTCTCTGTAATTTGACTCTCATAAATTGTAAACTTTCTTTTAAATTTCTCCCACACATAGGGAAAGAGAGTAAGAGTAATTCTACATTGCATACCATCCGCTGATATAAAAGGAACAGGTTACATGCTTCATTAGCAACAACTCTTACTACATTAAGCTTATCATTATTATTATTATTATTGCATACCTATATGCTGCAACTGCATTAGTAGAAAACAGCTGTTGACAAATCACTTCAGCGTCAATGAGATCCCAACCATCATCACAGACAGTACCCCAAGTACTCTCGTTGTCTCTCTTAACTTCAACTCGTCCAGAATACGTTCCATTGCTGTTCCCTAGTCTAACCATTAGCACTGGCGGTGCTGCAGTCGATGTATTGCCACAGACCACACCAGCGTCTTCACCGTGGTCACAGTTGTGTACACCCCAGCCAGCAAAAGGACAGTCAGATAGAGAAGCTTCATTACCAAAGCAATGTACTTCATTCATCCATATGCTGCCAGACCCTGCAATGATGGAATTGAGATTTAATGTAGTCTCTTATTAATCTCTGTACTTATTCATTCAAATCTAAAATCTTTTCTCTCTCTTTTCCCCTCTCTCTCACCTTCTCCAAACTGTGGTGAGTCCCTAGGTAATGTCACAACAGCTTCAGTCGCATACATGTATCCTAACTGTCTACAGACTACATTAGCCGAGCTTATGCTCCACCCATCATCACAGACTGTGCCCCAAGAGTCACCAAAGTATATTTCTACTCGTCCTTCCTCTAGTTGACTCCCCCCACTGAGACGAACATTAAGAGCTTGAGGTGAATCTGAAGGTGCACAATATAGCAATGAAGAGTTATTTTAAAGGTGACATAGCATGCCCAAGCATCGTAACAATTAATGTATATAAAATGATACTACTCCTACACCATTTACCATAATAGTCTAATCTGGTTTTGTACCCATGATCTATCACTCTCTCTCTCCCTCTCTCTCACCTGAGCATATAACAGATGCAAATGAGCTACAGTTTTCGTTTGATACATTACTCCATTGTGCTCCATTACAAGCTCCAATTGATCCTTCCCAACCCACACAGGATACATTAGCAGTCCACACGGTATTACCACCTCCTGGTACTTCAATACTTGTAGATAGGTTTGCCACACCCACTGAGTATCCCAATTGGTAGCAAACAGCCTACAAATTGAAGCATGAAAATCATAAAATTTTGCTTCAGTTATGAATTGATTTAAGGAAAAATAGACAATCTACTATTGATCTAAGCAATGAAAATTTTAATCTGCTTAATAAAAAATAAGATGCTTGCACTTCAATATTTGTACTAGCTGCATAAAAGTGAATTAATTATCTGTATATACCTGAGCAGCAGTTTGAGGCCATATATCATTGACACAGAGAGGTCCCCACGTCTTCTGATACAATATTCTCACGATCCCATCCCATTTTGTATTGCCTCCAATTATGTCCACGTCATTAGCAATGAGATATGAAGAGGATGAAGCTGAGGAGAGTGAGAGCATGAGAGAGAGGAGAGGAGACCAATCAACCTTGTGTAATTGAGCACAAAATGACTTCAATATTGCATTCAATGCATAGTATACATGAACTGTGCAATGGGCCAGTTAGCTGAGTTATTGACTGTAGTGTGTGATCATGACTATTTAAAATTTGAAATATCTGACATGCATGCTTGACATCAATTAGCAACTGGTGGGGAGTCTTGTGTACTGATTTAAATGTAAGTATGTGAATCAGCTACTGCCTGAGGTATACTTTCCCCCTATCAGTCTGTCTCCTATTCTATTATGCACCTCTTTCCTTACCCTCTCTCTCTCTTTATTCTCTCCAATGGTTACTTACTTGCACAAGTTATTACTGCATTGTGACAGTCCTTATTGACAGACCCTACATTTGTCCTATTACAGCCTAACAGGTTTTGTTCTGCTCCACTGCACACTAAACCAGTCAAGTGGAGCCCGCTTGTTGGTGTATTACTTGGATGAGTGTTGAAATAAGCCGTGAAACTGGTTTGACGGCATACCACGGTACCAAATGACCTGCTCCAGTCTTCCATACAAACAGGAGTCCACTGGTTATTACGATACACCTCCACTCGGCCAGAGTTCGACTGACCTTGGATCCTAACATTAAAGTCCTGTGGAGACGTTATATTTCCTAGTGATGATGATGGTGGTGATAATGAAATTGAAATTTGAAATAGTGCAAAATGTTATAGAACAACATAATGATATGAAGGAAGGAAAAGAAAGAAAGAGCGTGACAAAAAATAAATGCATTTTAAAGTTTTTACCTTTGCATCTCACACCAGCAGCATCACCATGATTACAATCATGTATACCCCATCCTTTAAACGGACAGTCTTGAAGCCTATTCTCATTCCCATTGCAGTTAACATTATCCATCCAGATGTGATCCTCAGTGCTTCCAGGACCATAATGAGATGAATATGATACAGAGAGAGCTCTTTGATACTGGAGCTCGTTACAGACAACATTCCCATCCTTCAGATCCCAGTCATGATCGCATATGAGGCCCCATGTGTTGTTATAGCAGATCTGTACATTACCATAGGTTCCATTGGTGAGCCTTATATCTCCTTGATTTGAGCATGCTGGAGAGACAAATAAAAGATAGAGGTCTTATGGACTCATAAATTATATCGCAGATGCATATCAATTGCAAAAACACAGTTCTTTTTGCATCAAAATTGCACTTAAAGTTTATGAAATGCTTCCTTTAACTACAAACATATCTGCAGTAATACAATACATTCAAGTTCAGTGATGTGGAAAACTGCATGCATCAGTGTACATATCATCATTCCATGTACATGTATTCAGCTAAGTATTATTGACAATTAACTTACATTCCGAGTTAGCTCCATTTCCACTTAACAGTAGAACTAGAAAAGAAAGAAAAATCTTCTCCATGAGAAGAAAACCTCAACGAAGATCATGACGAAGTAGATAATGCGAACTTTATAAAGGAAATGTACGCCGGTAATAAAAGCGTAGGCATGCATCTTAGATCACAATACCGTATAGGAACAACCAATTAGTCAAATGCCGCATTACCTCTAAAATAGGACGAATCAGGCCACAAAAATAATATTAAATTAACAATATACATTAGGCTATTAGCTCTTGTGCGCTGTTTTCTCTTCTTTCCTCTTATTCTTTAGTTCACAGCCCGGGGAACCAATGGCCACTTCTAACGACAACGACGTAGAGTCAGGAGATGAAGTAAATATTGATAAATTATAAAGGAGAAGCTCTGTTACTGTTTTATCCTATTCTTTCTTTCATTCTCTCTCGCTCTCAGCTGTTTGAAGATGCAGTTGAAGTCCAGCAGTCAACTGCCAATGGACACTGCGATGCTAAAAGGATGCCAGTAGCTAATCCTGACGCCTTTGAGTTCCTCTTCCCAATGCTACTAGGTAACCGATTCTAATTATTACCAAATCTTCTTAGAAGCATATAATATTTATGTCCTGGTAATGGTTATCAAAAATAAAGAATAAACTGTATTTAGATTTATAAATGTTTATTATAAAGTGCATGTAAACTGCTTTAGCAGCAATACATTGAAATACTCTCAGCAACTGAAACCTACTTACAAGTACGATGCAGCTACTAATTCCCATTTTAATCATACACTCCATACAGTAGTGGACTATTATCAGAGAGCCAGGACTTATACTATCATGTGTGTATATCTACACTTTGATCTTAATAATAGACATTATAACAACACTAGTCTCATACTGATTTAATGAGAGTTTACTTCATAATGTGAACCAGTCTCTTTTGATTTGACTACAGCTCTGTTTACCACGGAAATATTTCCCAGCTAAAACATGAACAAAGGATAAAGTGATTAGTTTAGAGTATGGCTGGCTTTGTTTGCATATGATACTGCCAATATGCATTAGCTCAAATATGTCCAAAGAGGAATCTATATGCACTTTAAAGGTTTTGTGGTCATATAATGATATTTCTATTTCCTTCCCCTCTCTCTTTTCCCCTCCCTCCCTCCCTCCCTCTCTCTCTCTCCCTCCTTCTTCTCTCTCTCTACTTACAGAGCAATCTTCGATAACATCTTTTAGAAAAAAGCTCCCGTTTCCAAGAGAAAGGAGCACAGTTGGACTGTGGGCGTGAGTTTCCTTTACTTTACAATTATACAATGAATCATGGATGTGTCCTATTAAATGAGAATATCTCATTTATACTACAGGAGAATGCATAATCCTTGCGACAAGAGTTTGAGTAGATTTATTTTGTTTAGTGGGTAATTTATTATTGAGAATAGAAACTAAGTAGCTGTTACTCCCATATAAGGAAGGTGAGGAAGATTTCCAATTTTTACTCTCCTTGCAAAGATAGTGCAATCTCCTGTAGTAGTTAGAGTTGTGATTTGTAATTGACACGCCTACAATAACAATAACTTTAACATAGACCAAATAAGAACATTGAAACTTTATTATCGTTAATATTTGAATATTTCTTCTATACTTAGTTTCTTAAAGAACCTCGTTGGTAAGGATGTGACTCGCATATCAATGCCCATCACCTTTAATGAACCGATTTCATTTTTACAAGTAAGTCAGCATTACTATCATCATGTGATTGTCATGTGACTTCATTAATGTGCAGAGACTGTGTGAGGATGTAGAGTATATTGAACTCTGTCACAAAGCAGCAGGTATATATTATATAATAATAACTTCAAATTTTATTTCTCCCCCCTCTCTCTCTCCTTATTATAGAGGCGGAAACAATTTACGATAGATTAGCATATCTAGCTGCACTAGCATCATCTTGCTACGTGTGCACTTTAACTAGGTAGGAGGGGTCTGGTAATATTGTACTTTTATAAAGAAATGAGTCACCCCCCAAGAGAGTATTGTTTCTATACACAATGTGATGATTATAATAATGATTATTCATAGACCGATGAAGCATGTGCTTTGCATATGCTTTGTAATTATGATTACTATTATTATTATTACATTACAATTCATTTACTATTACAATTATTATTATTATTGCATTACTATTACTATTATTGGTTATTATCCCAGTTACTAGTATTACTATTATTATTATTATTATTATTATTATTATTGTTGTTGTTATTATAGACACAGTAAGCCGTTCAATCCATTGCTTGGTGAGACATACGAGTTAGTTAGGAAAGACTTAGGATACTGCCTCATTGCAGAACAGGTATACCTAACTAACAAATGACACTAGAAAATAAATCTTATATGTTATACTGATAAACATGCATTACTTGTACATACAATGTGTATTCACTCTCTTTTTTTCTTTCTCTCTTGTCAGGTAAGCCATCATCCTCCCATCACTGCTCTACACTGTGAATCGGACAAGTGGGTATTTTGGGAGGAGTACAAACTAGACATCAAATTCAGAGGACAGGTATGATCAACACATTAAGTATACTATTACCAATAATATACCAATAATATACCAATAATATACCAATAATATACCAATACATGTGAATCCGTAATGTGTGTGGTATGTTGTAATATCATTAAAATTATGACATTTACAGACATTACAAATTAACTGTATGTAATTATAATAATTATATTTAATTCCCTCCACTTATTTAAATATTATTATCCGTAGCCATATACATGTTGCCAGTTAACAGATAATGGTCATATTAAAAGCTGATGTCATTGTTGTTATTGTAATCTGTAGCCATATAGCAGGTCCAGTTGATGGTATGGTAACTGACCACATATGCAGTGTATTTCCTTGCAGTTAGACTACCAGCTATCACTAATATGGTTGACAGCTGATAGCGTGTGTTCATGCAGTTTCCATCCTTGTCCAGTAACAACCAGTTGCTAATTCATAGCAGTCAACTTAATAGAACAATTAGCACGATTAGCACATTGCTGAGTGTATTGTATTACTATTTTATACCATTTTGTATTAATTGTTGACAATATCTTCAGGGATCTCCCATATTAAAACACTTGTGTAGTGCAGCTTCTTGTCAAGTTGCTCAAAAATCGGGCCAAAGACCCTGTACTATAGTACAGGGAATTTTGGCAAAAATTAAAAGGAGAGAATTCTCCATTTTTATAAGTTTATTTGATGCATATACATGTTCTTATGCTGTGTAGAAAGTTTGAACTCATTCCGATCAAAGTTGGATTTTTTACGAATTTTTAAAGTTGCTTCAAAATTGAGTAAAAGTCCCTGTACTATAGTACATGGTCTCGAGCCAAATTTCGCCAAAAATGAAAAGTAGAGAATTCTTAATTTTTATAAGTTTATCTGATACATATACATGTTCTTATGTTGTGTTTAAAGTTTGAGCTCATTCCAATCACAGTTCGATTTTTTATGAATTTTTAAAGTTCCTCCAAATGGCGTGTACATTGTACATACTATATAGCTGTATTGTAGTGCTTGTCAGCTTATGAAGTATGCTTTGCAGGAAACACTCATACAAGTATACATGTACACGTACACACATACCTACACAATCTCTTGTAAAGTTGATATTTCCTGTACCTTTTGTCAACAGCTTTGATCCTTTCTTGTCCCTTTTCCTCTTTATGTCACGTTGACTTGTTTTATTGTTACTTTACTTTATCTCAAAGTGAAATAAAAGAATCTTTATATGATAGCCTCTCTCTCTGTCTCTCTCTCCAGTGGGTTCGTATCCAACCGACTGGTTTAGTTCATTTCAAAACAAAGTTAGACGGTTACCATTATTCGTGGAACAAACCTCACACGACTGTACACAATCTCATTATCGGCCAGTTGTGGGCGGATCATGAGGGCGTGGTCACAGTAACCTCACACCAAACAGGTGACCGGGCCGTGGTGAATTGGAACCCGCACAGCAAATCAAAGGATAACTATAAGCAGATTAATGGTGAGTGTTAAAAAATGAATTTTAAAGTATCAAGGCAGCAACAGAAAACCACTAATAATAATGATAATAATAATAATAATAATAATAATAATAACCTACCTCTATTAGGTGAAGTGACGACTAAGGATGGTATTGTCATTTATAATCTCGAGGGACGATGGGACAAAGGAATGGACAGGGTTGACCCAGGTTTGTAAGCCATTAATTATCAGTACATGCAGTACTACTGTATCCTCTTGTATCTTCAGATGGTAGCAATAGGAACAACTTGTGGACTGCACACGAGCCACTACCTGATAATGACAGACAGTATGGATTCACTCTTTTCTCCATGAGTCTTAATGAACATGATGATAGTAAGAGAGGGAGGGTAATAAAGTAGAGAGAGAAAGACTAATCTACATGTAAAAACTAATACTGTTACTTTATGTACATGTAAAGAATAATGATAATACAATATAACTCACATTTACTTCATCAAAAGGTGTTGAGTGCCCAACTGACTCAAGAAGGAGACCAGACCAAAGGCTCCTTGAAGAAGGACAGGTAATGCTTCAAGATTAATAACATTTTATTGTGTTTATCTTGCTGTAGATTGAAGAGGCTGGAGAAGAGAAGGTAAGACTAGAAGAGAAGCAGAGAGCAGCCAGGAAAGCAAGAGACAAGAAGAAGGAAGAATGGAAGCCCAGGTAACTACTAAAAAAAGAGATAAAGACAGTATACAATACATAATGGTAGAATATCTTAATGCATCATTCACACAATGTACATGTACATTATTCTCTCTCTAACCTTATTCTTTCTCTACTCATAGATGGTTCACAGAGAAGTTTGATCCAGACACTAATACTTCTTATCACGTGTTTGATGGTCACTACTGGGACGCTAAACTGAACAAGGACTATACAGTATGTCCCGATATTTTCTAATATTTCTCCCACCACCTCCTCCTCCTCAATATAATATTGCTAAAAACACCATTATAGCTACTTTTCTGCTTATTATTATTATTATTATTATTATTATTATAATTTGTCATTACCTGCTCTGTAATGTAATAATATTGATACATGTTTCTATTTATTCAGAATTTTTGTGAAATTCCACAAATGCTATTTATTATTATTATTATTATTATTATTATTATTATTATTGTTTTTGTGGTGCTTCTGTCTCCATAAAAATTTTCTTCTTATTATTGTTATTATTATTATTATTCTTTTTCTTTTGTTGCTAGCTGTACTTCCATCTAATGATTGATTTTTGTATTATAAACAAAATGAATTTTACCATTATTATTATTATTAATATTATTTATACCTGTAACATTTCGTTGCTGATTGACTTAATTGGTATCAGCTTCATTGGATTACGAGTGGGCGGCTGAAAGACGGAGGTGTGGTCATGCTCTTGTGGGTTCACCTGTATCCATGGAAACCCCTACAGGTGACATACATGTATGTATATGCAAAAAGTAAAGCACCAAATTTCAGGAAGACATAAGTTTAAATTTGTACCATCATACTACTATGTACCATATTTTGACTGACTTTATATTTTAAGTACATGTACATGTAAAGAAATGAGAAATTGAAAAATGAGAAGTGTCTCTCTCACTGACTTCCTCCTCTTGCTGGTGTGTCAGGTTAGCTGCTTTAGATTTCTCAGTGTGTACTAATATGGTGAATGGTGGACTGTCGGATTGGGTGTGGTCAGATAGTTCCTGTAGGCGTGGCTTACATAGTACGTCACTGATACTGATTTTGAGTAATGCTGATCTCAGTGATTCTTCAACTTCAAGTAAATAGGTGTCGTTCCTTTGGTTGCATGTCATGTGACTGTTACCATGGTGATATTACAGTGTACTTACTTTATTGCTGAAATGTCTGGAAATTTCAAAATAAATTGAAACACTTCAATGATGGAATTATTACTCTGCAAGAACAAACAGATCATAAAGATGCATGATAGTTATGAAATCCTTAAAAGCATTAAAACCCAGAATTTTATATGCACAACTTACCATTAATGGTATTTCAACTTTTTCAAGTGACCCCTATCAAAGAAAAAGACCTGATTATACCAGCATAACGTTATCTATACTTCTCGGATGACTTTTCACTAGCGCGCGCCATAGATATGCGCTCTCTCTCTCTCTCTCTAGGGGAGGAGCCCAGCTCGGACCGGATATAAAAACGAGCAATCTCTGGAGTTTAGTCAGTAGTACAGATCTTTTACTGTTTTACCCCGATCGTTTACCACCATGATCGCCTATGAAATTGACTTCTATGTGGGACTAATCACTTACTTTGCTTATGCTTATTTCATCATAGTTCATATTAGCTGCATTATTGGTAGCTGCTTTTGCAGATGCTGCCCCTGCAAACCTTGGATTAAACGTATTACCCTAGAAGTTGCTCAATATTTGTATGGGCCTTCATCAATTACAAAGAAAAACCAGAAAGAGGAAAGTGACTCCGCCGGCTTCATAATACAAGGGATGGAATTTCAGGATAGCCAGCTTAATATATCAGTGATAGCATGTTACAATGCTCTTGTCATTGGTTTGATCTTTATAAGTGCCATGAGACTTCTTGTATC